TGTGTGTGTGTGTGTGTGTGTGTGCGTGTGTGTGTGTGTGTGTGCATTTTGTCCCGCATTTTCAACTTATGAACTAGTAAAGCTAGGAATCTGAAATTTTAGGGGTATGCCTCTTGCTAACCTATAGCCCCGCAAATTCAAATTCAACTTCCTCTTACACCGGGTTTCACGCATGGCTACGTGAGGAGTTTGGCAAAGACTTTACGACCTTGACCTCACATACGGACATGGGAAAATGTGGATTGGAAAATTGGTAACTCAGGAACCAGAAAAGTTGAGGATCGAAATTTTGTGAGGCTGTTCTGTGTCTACATTTCATCCAAGGACTTCAAATCAGTTCGTAATTGAACCTGGATCTGAAAGTTCGGGTTGGAAATTGTTGGCAGCTTACCAAGCCTGAAAACCAGGTAAAATAGAAAACCAAAATTTTACGGGGAAATTTTATGTACACATATACACACAGTTATTCAAAATTAGCTTTATCACAAGCATGTGTCTCACAAAAATGTGAAGTTTTCGGTGGAATTTAGTCTTGCCTTCAGGGACTTGAAACTTTAGGATGTTTCTTGGTTGGATTCCGAAAGCCTAAATTGATCTTTAATGTACACCTGCTTTTCAAATACATAAAGGCACGTGAAATTTCAACCCTCCCGCTAGATAACCCAAAAAGTGCAGACTTTTTATACCATGCTTTTTGATTTTTATAGCATAGCTCAGGAGAAGTCTACTCCAAAATATTATAATCCATACCCAAAAACTGTCATTCATCGAACAGTCAGTTGTATTAACTGTTCGTAAAAGAGCTTGATCGCATTAGCAACCCTGATGCGCCCCTGTTGATCTTATCGCTTAGTAGTTTGGAAACGGTGACGTTCTTAATAATTATTATAATTCTCGAGGAGCTAACTGACGCTCTTATCCGAGGTGCATTCGTGCATCGGCTTCAAATAGAAGCTTGTTATCCAGAAAACTTATTTTAGCTCCGCGAATTCGTTCTGCGTACGATTTCGAAAGGCGAGGAATGCGCCCTTTAATCAGACAGGAAGAGACCTGGCGACACGACTGGCCAAGCTCAAGCGAAGAAAGAATGCGAGAGGACAGCTGGCGGAAAAGGGAATTCAGAAGAGAAGAACGGGCGGAAGTGGTCCCGCCACCATGGCACCGGAGCAATTTGCCTTGTTGGGCAAAACCGGTGGAGAGCTGGAGAAGATTTGACAGTCCGGTAACGCAGCATCAGCGGATATCTGAAACATTCGATGAACCAGCGGACGAGGAGGATCGCTCTTCACCAACCATTTGGGAGAGGTTACTTTTAGAACAAGTTTAACCTTTTTTTTGCTCATTTTATTGTTGTGGCGGTATCTTTTGTTCTGAAGCAGAAACAGTGGGAACGCCATGCATTTTGTGATTCACTAAATCGAGTGGGCTACAAGTCGTTTAGAGAAGCTATAATCATCAACAGCACTTTTTTGTCAACTTTAAAGAGGGACTTGTTGACAGCTTTATATTTTGACTCATTTCCAGTGCACATATTCTGATGAACTCTAGGTTCTTGGTTGTGCACCTTTGCGCCATCTACACAGCAGGCAGTCTTTCTGCGATTCCGTGACGAAGCTGCATTACCTCTGATGATCAGTCTGCTCCCTGTGTTTTC